AACACAAACCTAAACATGTGAAATGTAATGGTTGGAATTGGCAAAGTTTAATTCCATGTTAATGGCTACAGAGAGAGAGTGAAGAAAGAAATATAGTGTAGAAATGCTTTTGTCAGGATTGATTAAGGTTTGGAAATAAAACAAAAGAAAATAAAGCTCCCTAAATATTTATAAGGATATTCAGTCTCCAGAGTGAAAATCTGGAGAGAAGGAATACGTGAAAGGTGTTTTGCTTTGAAATCTACGTACAATTTCTCAGTTCTCATATGTTGCATATTTAAAAATACAAGACATAGAGAGAGTTTTCAGAGTTTCCTTTGTTCAGTTTGGAGATTATATGCATCCAGTGTTTATTGTTTTCTAGACCTTTTTCTAATGACTTTTAACTAAATCATTAAATTCTGTGTTCTCTAAGGATATCTCTTGAAAATACATGTTCCCTAAGTTCAGGTTTTAACCTTGTTAATTGTACAGAAAAAAACAAAGCAATCCTCCCTAGTTTAAGGGACAATGAGTTGCTTATTTTCTCTGCAACAGAAATAATTTAACACAGAGAAAATCTGATTGTCTTCAATCATCAAGTACTGTACGTGTGAATGAAAAAGATCAATAAAGCCAAGAAAACACTATCAAGAAAACACCAAGAACTGCTTTTATTGTTATATAGCAAACTAATAAAACTATACCCTGATCATTTCCATTCACATATGCAGTAGTATAGATGCAGTAGCAGGATGACAAAGAAATTTAATTCAGAACTGAAATATTATAATAATTCTGGTTACTGCATTATGTGTTATTTGATTTTATACATCTCATTAATGATACACCACAAAACGTAGTTTGCATTGTTTCTTTGCATCATATCAATGAAAAGATATACACATGGAAAATACAACATTGAAACAAGTAAGTTTAATCTAGACAGACTAGCAATTTTGTAAAAGTGTACAACTAGATCAGGCATAGTCAAAATGAAATTCTTCAGTTCATAGAGTATGTGTACCCTTGTTTCAGGAATTTAAAGATGTCAGTTCAGGATCAAATGAGCCCTTATCTGCTCAGGTTTTGATGTATCAGTTCAAGTTCTGACATGCAGTTACGTCATTTGATGAAAATACAGAAGCATCTTTTTTGTGTAAACACAAGATTTTGGGTAGGAACCCGCGGTTCTGCAGACACCAGTAACTGAATAGACTAGAAAGAGCAAAGCAAGAGGAGTGAATTTAGGGAAATGGCACCCTCTGAGCAGCCTGCTCATTTACACAACTTCCACAGGCGAAATGGGAACCAATATTCGGTTTACCCGAGACCTGGATTTTTCCTTAATACTTTTTCATAGAAAATTGTATACTGGCAGGATAAAATATCACTACAAGTTTTGTATTTAAGAATTCGTGCATATTTGTTCTCCAACTGGCTTCAAGTATTTTAGCATTTACTTTTAACATTCAGCGTTTTAACAAAGCAATCACAAGATAAAAGGCAATTTTTCAACCTTTATACAAAGTTCAATGCATCTCTTCTGATAAAGACAGTTTAAGGTTTGCATTTAACCCTGCATAGGTGACCTTACTTGGGGATCCAGTTGTGCTGCAGGCAAAAGTGGTGACTTCAGCACCTGTAAGCACATGCGAACCTCACACCAGCAAACCTAGCCACCCCTCCCATGTCAGCTGCAGCCGCGGAGATCTCAGTTCAGCCTACCTGCTCATCAGACTGCCCGGGACTCTTATCTGAAGTACTTCACTATCAGAATCAGAGGTGAACCCTGTGTTATCAATGAACACATTTTATCAGCTCCAGGTCTAGGTAACTAAAAGGTAGTTCCAGCATATGCTGAAGAACTCCACTCATGCTTCTTAGCCATAATATATTATGCCTGCTGCTGTACCCGCTGCTAATACCACTGGTCTTCCCACCTAACTCTGCTTCGTGCTGAGGAATGAGAGAGCAGCGATGTCCTGACCTGCAGGGATGGGAGCCCTACATGGAGGTCCCACAGCGGCCATTCTACAAACCATGTCTCCAGCGCCGAGGAAATACACCCGTTCCACAAAGCTATTATTGAATATATGACAAGTCATCTCAAGAGTTAGTTGAACAATGTCACTTCAATGTCTGTGTTCTTTTAGAGAGGAATGAGCAAACTTCCTTAAAGACCAAATTTGCCTTTCAGAGAATAAATAAGCAACACATGCATGTAAAAGACTGCAAAGACATCAGTTTCAAATGAGTTTTCAATTCCATGGTGCATTTTAAGTCCCATGTGCATCAAAGTTAAATCATTACTGCTTCCATGGAAAAGGCGGGGAAAAGCATTCCCCTCTGTATCACCCAAAGTAAGCACTAACGGCTGGTGAGCAGGTCAGCCCTGCAGAATCTGCTGTCTGTATTGACTCTGTCTCTACTGACTGAAATCAGAGCTCAGGAAACCTGGCTCACTTAGATTTCTACAGCACCAAGGTGAATTCTTAAGTGACAACACAGCTAATGCCACATGCAGATGCCACACGCCAGGGAAACCACCATGCAGAGACGTCACAAATCCCTACAGTAAAGCTCAATACAGCTGAAGAGAGTTTTTTCGTCATTCCCTCATGACAATCACACTTGCATACACCACAGGTAACCGAAAATTTACCATAACAGCTACTGAGCAAGTCGGTAGAAGACTGCAGTGTGTAGCTAGTTCACAGCCGCTGCAAGATGATAACTAAGTCTATGTACATACCACTTTTTTAGCTATATAGAAAATGGTTTAGTGTTAATAGATGTAGGTAGACCTCCAACACCAAAAATATTTTAGTTTGAATAGTTTCTCCAACTAATGATCAACTCTAGCTCTTTTCTTCTGCTGGTTTGAGGGCACTTACTGACAGGTCTGTCTGTTCTTCATGAGCCTCACAGGACTAGTGCGACCTTGTGCTAGGCTACTGACAGACTTTGCATCCTGTTCCTTTACAGTAGTTACATTTGTGTGTGTTTCTTTCTCAGATTGGCTAGCAGCTCTGAGTGAAATTAGGACCCTATTGAATCTCTCATTACTCTCACCTAAAATAAAACTTTCCATGTTTACTCTAACTGAACTAATGTTCTGCAAGTAAATATCCCAAATCACAACCCTCACATACAGTAACAGGACGTGGAACAATAACAGACCCCATCTACTTGCAGAAAGGAACTGGGAAAAATGTGCAAACCATGATTAAAGAGCTGCAAAGTCTAGGAATAAATATGCTCCCTGAAAAATTATACAGCCTGGAAATTTTACACCAATTCCATAGTCTACTTATTGGAATATTCATGCTAAAGAGGGTCATGAATTAGACATGATTTTAAATGGATTTGCTGTGTTAGATACTAAGGTCTAGCAGAAACCTTAAAATATGTTTTCTATTTAGATGTAGATAAAAGACAAAGTATTCTCATCAATTTAATGAATTCTAGAGTTTCAAAATTTAAAGAAAATGTTAGAAGATTACAAAAACTATCTTAAGAGGTGCTCACACAGTTCCGTGTCAAGATGGCATAGGAAAAAATCAACCCCCAGCCAAAGTTCCCTTTTGTAGATGCCTTTGCAAATTTAGGAGGCAGAATCTGGCTGTATTGATTCACTCTTGCTAGCAGTGTTTGACACGTAAATGATTATCCATGTACCTATGCATCAACTGTTCCATTGTCGTCCCCCCTCAAAATTCTGATCGATATCAAAGACATGATATTTGCATTTATTGCGAAATAATTCATTACTGAATATTTTATTATAGATATATCTTCACTAGTTATCAAAATTTTTAGCTACTATTATAAAGGAAACATTATGACCAAGACTTTGTAACGAATTGTATGCATGGTGGGTTGAAAAGTAAAAGAATATCCGTTCAATAAAGTGATCAAAATTCAACATTGTTGGGGAATATACTGTTACTGAAATATTACAGAGTTTTTCATCACCTAGGACAATATTGCTGCTCTGTTAAACATTGAAAGATCTTAGTTTTACAGAAAAAGAGGACAAAGACTAACTCACACACCTATTAACGCAAGCATGAACCAATTAAGAGAAACGGGAAACTGTCATGATCTCATTTATGTATGTACTTGAGACTATTTTTATTTACATAGAAGGCAGATTTCCACAGACAGAATTTTCCATGAAGGCATTTAGAGTAAATATGCTTTTCATTTCTGTCAACTTTTGCAGTCTGCATACTAAAAATCTTTGCAGATAATTGACTGAAAACCCATTGTAACATTCCTCTCTGATCATAGGTCATCACTTGCATGGTAAAGAGATCTTAAGAGATTTCCAGTATTTCAAAATTGGGGTTTTAATTCATTGATGATGTTAATATGAACCGCATGACTGAATCAACACGGATGAGTTAAAATGAGCTACACTGAATTTCTAAATACATATCTTGATTTTCTTATTTTCCTCTGTAACAACCTGCTACTAAATGATAAAACAGTCAAATTTCAGCAACATTTAAAATAGTTTGCTGTGAAAAAATAAATCCCAGAGAAATTATGCAGTTTAGCAAGATTGCCTCTACCTAATGGGGGGGGTGGGGAGCGGGGAAGACAGAAAAAAAGAAATCACACTGGCTAATAGCAGAAAGAATTTAAGCATATACAAACCCATTCCTTATCTCACTCTATTTTGCACATATCACCAGTCTTGTTCTTCTGGAGTTCACATCAAATGAAGAGTCAAACGATCCATTCCAAGTGCTGAGTTCATTTGAAGTATGAAATATACATGCTTTAAATCTCCTTTCTTTAGGATAAGACATTTCTTTTAAGAGGCAAGCAAGGATTCAGAAAAAAAAATTGTTTTTGACATGAAGGAAGCCTTCACTATTAAGGTATTCTCAAAGCATACCTCTACTGATTGCTAATTTAGGAGGTGTAAGAATTAAACTTTGTAGTTTGAGACTGAAGAGATTAATTTATATTAGCTGTAAATTAAGAAAAACAAGATGAAAAACACCTACCTTTCGGGAATGGATTTCTTTCACGTACAGTGGAAGCAGAAATTCAGATATTCCTTCAAGCCGTATTCCTTTTTTAGTGACTCTCAAATTTCCCATTCCATCCTACAATCAATAATATATATATTCACTTTAGGAAATAATCTTATCCAGAACAAGGTAAAAAGAACACAGTAGGTGGCCTAATATCTGAAAATAATGAGTGCTGCTCCACTGTCCTCAGGTGTCCTCAAGATTTTGGACAGGAGCTAGATCAGGAGATTTGTAGGCAAAGCAACACCTAGGATCGAGGTATTTAACTGTGTAGCCTGATGGTGAACAGCATACGTCACTCCTTGGCTGAACGTAACACAAGGGTGCAAATCTAGAAGATGAGTATTCCTTCACCATAGAGTTGAAGCTGGATCTTGAATTACAACTGCCAAGTAAAACAATTAATCATCTCTAAAAATGTATTTAACATTTGGTAAAGCAATCCATTATTTTTATGTAGTGAAATATTCGAAAAAATACTACGCCATTTTTATGTCTTGAACCAAGAGTTTTTGCTTTTCCCAGCAATTAAAATACATAGGAAAATATCCCATAGGAATAAAGAAAAGGGGTTTTTTGTTAGTAGTTGCACATAACCACTAAGATCATGTCACTTGTGAAAAGAAGAGCTTCAAAAATGCTGAGTATTATTTTTGCTTGGTTTTATTTTTCTGAATACATATAGGAAAGAGGTCATCGTAAAAGTCTGGATGAAACAAGCAAACCGAATGATTCATGTTCAACAAAATATAAGCATAGAAATGTGGTATATTAAGGCTTCAGTTATATTCTTACAGGAAAAACAGAGATCTGTTTGACACTTTAGTGACAGGATCTTTTCACACACTGATAGAAACTGAAGACTTTTTATTCCTGGATGCTTACTACTGTATTCCTGACAGAAGACAATTCTTCACTGTGCAGCCAGTGGAATTCAACTTGATCCACTTAAATGCGAGATTAGCAATTTGAACCTAACTGCTGCTTAAACATTTTGAAGCCATGGCTGACTCTAGTGTAGCAGAACAGTGAGAACTTGCACTTCTGCTCTCTGGGCTGAATTGTGAAACAAGTAACCTCCCCTTGCTGGGTGGTTGTAAACAGACGGATAACAGTGTCCCCAGCTGCTACAGCTGAAGATAGAAGACACTGAATTAAACAATATTATACTTATCTAAAAATAGAGCAGCCACTATACCACGATAGCTGTTCCCTTTCTAAAATAAACAATGATGCCAATATGGCAGATATTTGATTGACACTGCTGCATCCATATCTGAAGCAAGACTGTGAAAATGGTAATTCTTTGAGACAAGAAAAAGAATTACATTTTATATAATGTATTTCAGCTGGTATCATTTCCCAAACACAACAAGGATATAGTGATAGAAAACTTTCCACACCATGACAGATTTACTGTTGGGAATCATGCCTTCACACGTCAGCTGTAGGACTAGAATCCTAGATGCCTATGACTGCCCAATCAGAAACTACCAGAGTCAGAAAATAAGTGTAACTCCTTTCCAAAGCAGCGAAAATATGAAATAAAAAAAGCTACTGCTAAGGCTATTTATAATGAAGAATATACTTGTTAAAGTAACAGAGCACCAGAAAAATTTGCAGACTCTGCACAGTTCAGATAAAGTTTAGCAAAACTTGTAACTGATTACATAAATCCAAGAATTGCTTTTATGTTAGCAAAAGTGCTATCTGTATTCAAACTATGTGTCATGGCTTAACCCCAGTCGGCAACTAAGCACCAGACAGCTGCTCGCTCACTCCCTCCCATTGGGATGGGGGAGTGAATCAGAAGGGTAAAAGTAAGAAAACTTGTGGGTTGAGATAAAGATCATTGAACAGGTAAAGCAAAAGCTGCGCAAGCAAGCAAAGCAAAACAAGGAATTCATTCACTGCTTCCCATTGCAGGCAGGTGGTCAGCCATCTCCAGGAAAGCGGGGCTCTGTCATGCCTAACGGTTACTTGGGAAGACAAATGCCGTCACTCTGAATGTCACCCACTCTTCCTTCTTCTTCCCCCCATTTGATATGCTGAGCATGACATCGTGTGCTATGGAATATCCCTTTGGTCAGCTGGGGTCAGTTGTCCCCTTCCAACTTCTTGTGTCCCCCCAGCCCACTCGCTGGTGGGGTGGGAAGCAGAAAAGGCCTGGACGCTGTGTAAGAACTGCTCAGCGATAACTAAAACATCCCTGTGTCTCCAATACTGTTTCCAGCACAAATCCAAACCACAACCCAGTAAGAGTTAGTAAGAAGGAAATTAACTCTATCCCAGCCAAAACCAGTACACTATGACAGCTGGAATACCAAATAATGCTTCTTAAAAAAGTGATGCTATATTTTAAAATATTTTTCTTAAATCAAGATACGAGATGACTACACAAACTATTTCAAATAGAAATCCTCAGGCATTTGTAGGCTTTCTAACAAGAGTGCAATATGAGAGAGTGGTGCCTATTTTTGAAAAGGAAGTAAGATAAAGAAACTAGAACTTGCTTTTCAATGTGCAATCTGTATCAATACTCATTAATTCTCAATTTCAGCAATCCTATTTTTCTATATATGTTATAGTAATAGCATATAAAATCCTAATGGGAAAGAATAACCTTAGAAAACACAATCACCATATTATAATTTTGGCTGTGAATAAATAGTCTAAAAGAATTAGGTACCGATTTATTGATTTGGATATAAACACATTTTCTAACTGAAAAGGCAAATTCAATATGTTATTTTATCTGCTTCTGTGGATTGTTTGTAACTGCCAGCCACAAAACAATACTCAAAAAAAAAGGGGGAGGGGGGAGGCAAAAAAAAATCACAAAGTCAGACTTCCAGAAGACTGGAAATGCTGAAATTGAGGTTGCCTAGGAAAATTCCACCTGTTCTATCTTGCATGTATGGGTGTGAAAAAGTTTATAATTATATGCAATATTTACCCCCCTGAATTCCAGCTAATTTCATACCAGGTTGGCACTACTTTTAATCAGCAGCTACTGACCATTTTCCTTTCCCCTCTTTATTTTCTTTGCTCCACATTCACTGTACTCTGTTAAAAGCCTGCTTTGAAGGCACTACTGCCAGGTTCCCTTTTGGCTTCTGTTCTCATAAGTGTTTAATACAAAAGTTACACAGTTCTTCACAACTATTAATTAATTTTCAAAATACTTTTGGTGGCTTTATATCAAGCGATACTGTTCTTATATTACTGAAAGGGAACTGAAGAACAGCAACTTATTTGTTCACTAATTTTTGGTACTTATCGTATTTTCTCTGTTGATTTTCACCACCAGGAAGTCAAAGTCTACAGCGAGTTCAAACTGGCAGAGTCTCAGAAATAAACTAACACCTGAGCCTACTGCGTCCATAAGGGTTCCCCTTTTCTGAGCAATATTTCTAAGACCTCTTTCTTTAGTTCTTCAGCAGCAAGCTACTCACCTATGTGAGTCCAACAGTTTGAATGCAGACAGACTCTGGACAGACAGGAGAGCTCCAGTTTCAGTAAAATTATGTTATTCGAAAACGAGAAGACAGGCACTACATTCTGGAGCGTAAGCCACAAATGGTATTATTAGATAGAAAACTGAAACAGGGTGACTGTGACCTTAATTGCTTGATAAATGAAATTATCTTCCAGAAAGTAAATTCCTGAAGTAATTACTGATATGAAATAAAACAGAATACTGAAATAAAGAAAATACTAAGACATGTACAATGACCTGGCTTAATGAGGCTCTCCCCATTCAAAGAATCACTGCCCACTATGATTTATTCATCAGTAATTCCCCACCTAGTTTAAAGAGGGTTTAGAATGAGAAGAGTTTCTTGTTTCATTGAGTTAGAACTATGCTGTTATAGAGAAAAATTGAAGGGTTTTCAAAGGTAACGTAACTTTGTTGGAAAGTCATTAGGATTGAAAAGATTAATCACAGCAACGTCCAGTCTTCTTGGCTCATTTAATGCATGAATGAGCATGAAGATTTTTTAACTTTGGACCTCCCCCCGAAAGATACAATTTAACATAAAAGAGTTTAAAACAGAACCACAGAAGAACTCTGTCTTAAAATATACTTGCTTATTCCTGTAGATATGATTTTGATGTCCTATTATTAGTATCATTCATTTTAGGCTTTCCTTCTGCTAACCTTCCAAATACACTGCCTAAATTACTTTTTGCTTTCCAGGCAATGAATACTTAGATTAGCATCTTGGTGTGATTTGATTTTATCCAAGTGCAAAAATACACTTGAATGAACTATTCCAGTACTTTCTAACAATAAACAAATGCTAAGGTCACAGACTGGGACTGGCTAGGATGGAGTTATCTTTCTTCATAGCCTGTATGGTGCTGTGTTCTGGATTTGTGACTAAAACAGGGCTCACAGCGCACCGACACTTCGGCTAGTGCTGAACTCTGCTTGCATAGCATCGAAGTTTCTCTTTTCTTCCCCCCTCTCTGCCTCTAGCAAGTGGACCGGGAATGGACAAGGAGTTGGAAGGGATCATAGTCAAGACCCAAAGGGATATTCCTTTCCTGTAGCATCATGCTCAGCAATGAAAACTGGTGGTAGAGGTAGAAGTCGGAGGGCAGAGCAGTGGACTGTCTTTCAAGGTGGCCACTGCTTGGAGACTGACTGGGCATCAGTCTGCTTGTGGTAGGTGGTGAGTGATTGTCTTTGCATGACATTATTTCCTCTTTATTTGATATATGTGATTATTCTCAGATTGTTCTGCGATGTATAACTTTTCCTTTTTCCCCACACAAGAAGATAAAACATGCTAACAGTGACCCTGATTCACTTATTTTGTTCTTTTCCCCACCCACAACACTAAGAAAAAATAAACCACTCATCTTTACACACACAGATATACCTACCTTACAGATATTATTAATAAATAATAATAAAATCACTATCAATATTGTATGGCATTCTTAGGTCACATTACATTTCATTTATGAACACCATAAATTCAAACAAGCAGCTATTAAAACCTTAAAATAGGAAAACTAAACATTTATTTTACGCTGTTGTTTGTCTAATAACTGCAGCAATC